TTGAGCATTGGTGAGACAAATTAAAAAGATCATTCAGGCCTTCAGTAATGGTACCAACATTCATACTCTGGCTTCCATCTTTAAAGTCCATTCAAGAACCATCAAAGAAATGGCGGAGAAGTTTAAAATAGTGGGATAATTATATAACATTCGAAAAAAATAGATGATAAAAACATCAGAACGATTAACAAAATCATGCTATTATAAGGGATACATCATATCCAAATGAAAATAGCGTTCATAATTCATTAGTACTTGATGTGTAGACCTTTACTTTCAATATCAGCTTGACATGTCTTGCATTCATTAACGGATATTTTCTCCCATTCTCCTTTCAAATTAGACCATAGTTCATTCTTTTCCTTATCTCTTTCATTTAGTAACTTCCAAACATTTTCCTGTCTGGGCTTTGAGCAGGCCACTCCATAACAGTAACACCCTCCTCAGAAAGAAATGTCTTAACAGACTTCGCTGTGTGACACGATGCGTAATCTTGCATAAATACAGCTGGTTGATTAATTGCAGTTCTCAAATTAGATACATGTTTCGTCAATATCTCTTTGTATACAGTCGCGTTAATTTTACCGTGTTGCCTAACAAGAGGTCCCGTACCAGCAGATGAAATCATGCCAGACACCATCACACTTCCTCCTTCAAATATAACGCTGCTTTTAGTGACCTGAGGCGAACATCGTTCCTTCGGACAGCGTCGAACGAACCTTCTCCCTTCACAACTGAACATCGCTGAATGAACACAATCCCACTATTCTTCTGTCCATATGACATGTTCAGTGGCAAATTTCAATCGGCTCATTTGATTCTTTTTAGAAATGTAAGGCTTCGTAGAGGCTACTCGACAGTTCAAATTTATTTCATTAAGTCTTCGGGAAAGAGTGTGACTTGATATTTTAATGCCAAGCTTAGCATTAGCTCTTTTAGAGATAGCGGTTGCTGTCACAAATCGATCCTTTTTTAATTCATTACCAATCCACCTGCCTTCCCTTGCAGTAGTTTTCCAAGGCCTGCCAGGTGGTTTCTTGGCTTCACATGACCCAGTTTCTTAAAATACTATGAATAAGATTTAGATTTCCCCACAATCTTTGAAATATCCCCAACCGAGAGTTTATCTTCATTACATAACTTGACCATCAGTTTTCTAATGATGTCACAAATTTTTTCGCCCTGTTTACAATGCAAGAGCCAATAAAGAGTCGGTGTAATTTAGTAAAATGCCCTATTTTATATTCTCACCCTAAAAAAAAATTCAATAATGCAAAATAATTATTAGATTTTATGGATTTAATTGTTCTGATGTTTTTGATCATCTATTTTTTTCGAATGTTGTATATTTATTCTTATAACTTATAAGTTTATTTTGGAATTATATAATTTACCTTTATATCCTTATTTTTTATTGATAAAATGTTCTTTGAAGCTTTAAAATAAACAGTTATTTCGCATATAGAATTTTTCTTAACATCGTTCTGATCTTTATGCTCGCTACTGTATATATAATCATTATCACCTCATGCAAATCAGTAAAGCCACAAGCGGATACTGTGTGTGAAAAATTTAAAAACAGAAAAGATTATGAAGGAACGAGAACAATAAAAGCGTAACCAGGAAATCAATAGATAATGATTGACATTGCATTTAAATTTTTGAAGATCAAAGTTGGCCGGGAAGCTTGGAACCGGTAGAATGTTCCACAAGCAAGAAGTGTGAGATTTTGTTTATAATCTAGGACTGCGGTTAAATACATAAAGTCTGGGTACCATAGCGATGAGTTCATCCGGGCAGTTACTATAAAGTATTTGTAGAAAAGGTACAGAGAAGCAACCTTAAGCATTGACTGAATCCAGGTCAGGACAAATAATATTGCTAATTTTAAGTTTGGATTTTATCAAGAAACTCTAAATAAATAGCAGGAGCTCTGAAACAAATGTGACAGCAACATTCTAAGCATGGGAAAATGATAGACTAATAGATATGTAAGATAGATTCTGGAAAGGAAAATTGTCTAGCATGACACAGTCTTAGAAGTTAAGATAGCAATGAATTCAATGTAGATGTTCTCTTAATGGTGTATTTCGATAGCAAGAATTAATACAAACATGTTTGGTTAAATAATAAAGACAAGTTCTATCTTTCAATTTTTTTTATTATGTTTTTCAAATTTCCCCATACGTTGTTTTGTGTTATCCGTAAATCTGCCAAAGTTCATATTAACTTTTATTTTATATTATTTTTCCTGAGTAATTTCGAATGATCTCGCATTTTCAAGGAGTTTCGCAATGCTTTTTGAAAGGTTTAATAAAAAATATAATGGTTATATATATATATATCTTACTTATTATAAAACGCAGATTGTGTGTATGTGTGTGTGTCTGTACGTTTATATATTGGATCGGATTTCCTACATTTTTCAACCGATTTCAACAAAACTTCACAGGACTACGTAAAATTACCTTGCGGTGGTTCAGACAGCGCCAAAAATTGGAAAAACACAATTGTTTTTGCACAAAATCAATTTGAAAACACGATAAAACACGATTCTGTCGACAGATGGAAGGGGGACAACTCATATCCAGTTATACTTATTATAAAACCCACGTTGTTTGTGTGTGTGCATGTGTGTTCCTTTATATATGGGATCGGATTTCCTACATTTTTCAACCGATTTCAACAAAACTTCACTTTTTTCTTATTGTCTTGCACACTTTTTTCTTTATTTTTACATTCAGAATGCTTTAAAAATTCCATTTACAAGACAATTGTTTATAATAAAATTCTATTCAATCGATAGACTCATAACGATTGAAAACAATGTTTTTGTTTGAATTTGGTTTTGACCAATTCGTAAAAAAACAAAAAACAAAACAAAAAAAAAAAACTAATTAAGACATGCGTGTCCGTCAACCTTAAACAATAATCTTTGTCAATTTTATTTTTCAGTCTTTATGAAACATCCCCGGGCAACTGTTACATCCCCGGGCAACGCCGGGCTCTACTGCTAGTATATATATATTTTGCAATTTCTGGCTTTTTGTCTGTTTATTATTGTATCTAAATTGCTAGTGCGTCTGTAGCTTATTTTAACTTTATTGAATATCTTATGTAATTCTGAATTTTTTGGCAAGTGTTTAGTAAGTAACTTGAAAAAATAATTTCCCTATTTTATGTTTATATATATGTGCGTGTATTTGTGTGTGTGCGTGTGGGTATCTGGTGTATTTTGTGCATTTCGTTAATCAATAATGTATATATATATTTTCAATAAAGCAATAAACGTCCAAAGTTTTATATTTACTACTACTTCCAACTTTATTTTGTAGTCAATGATGATAATAATGCCGGATGAAGAGATCAATTATTTCCATAGAAATATATATATTTCAAAAATATATATATATATATATATATATATATATATATATATATATATATATATATATATATATATATAGGGGTGTTGAGTGTGGTTTGGGCGTGAAATTTAGTAAAAGAAAAGAAAAAAATCTACACAAATTAAATGCAACTATAAATGAATATGTTTAAATGTGTCCCTTTGAGAGTTGAACAGATATCGTATCTGCTGGTCGAGGTGGTTGTAATAATAAAGTTTAATTTAATCTTATATTTTTTCAAGGCAACATTAAAAAGGTCTATCAAAAACATTTTCCTTCTCTATTTCTCTCTCAATACAATATCATCTATCTATCTATCTATCTATCTATCTATCTATCTATCTATCTATCTATCTCTCTCTCTCTCTATATATATATATATATATATATATATATATATATATATGTCTTGATAATATTAGTGGTCAATAAACACACACACACACACATATATATGTCTTGATAATATTAGTGGTCAATATATATATATATATATATATATATATATATATATATATATATATATATATATATATATATATATATATATATATACGATATCTGCTCAACTCCCAAACGGGACACATAAGGTGAACATTTAATCCTATACATTTATAATTGCATTTAATTTGTCTGGATTTCATTTTCTTTTTTCTTTTCTTTTTTTTTTACTAATTTTTACTAAGATCAAGGCTTGCATTTGAAATGATAATAATCAAGGCGTGTTTCAATCATCATACGTCCCTAAGCCCTTTTTATCACATGCACATCCAAGCTTACACCACTTGGTATTCAAATGCGATAATCTGACCAAGCTCGACGCTGCTTAAGTTCTGTGATCGTACGAGAACTGACCTTTCAACGCGATATGTCCTTAAGCCATTTATATCACCCACGAATCCAAGCTTACAGCACATGATATTGCTCAGGGATCATCCATTTAGGTACTGACTTTGTAAAAAAAATACTTTAACATCTGCAAACCTCTTGCATGGGATGCGTGTAACAAACTTCACAATATTTGGCGCTCGAATCTTTCATCCAAACCCTTTGGACCTTGTCTGAAACAGTCCTATTTTCTTTCACAATATATATATGAATGAGAAACATTGACATTATCTTTTCGTTTTGAACGACAACTGGATGGAACATATACAAATCTACTTAGAAAAATCCAGGACATCAGTTGGAGATCCCATCCAACGCTTAACTCAATTTACGGAGAACTGAGAACTATCTTAAACCCAAACAAAACCGATTACAGTTTACCGGCCATAGCCTTCATGAGCGGGAAATCGTCTCATCCTTACTCCCATGGCATCCTTCTGGAAGTGTCTTCTCACTAAAATAGACTTTCCCAGACACCATAACTCGGGACTCAGGGTTGAACATTGGGGATCTGGGGACAGCAATGCAAGAACGAACAGTGTGGAAAGGGATTGTCAATGGAGTTCCGACCAACCATAGAAAGGTCAAAGGATGATGATGATGAGGTACTGACTAGACTTGACGTTGCTTGACTTCGGTGATAAGACGAGAACCAATGTTTCAACGCGATATGCTGTAAGCTCTTTATATCACCCCCACATCCAACTTACAGCACCTAGTATTCAAAAGCGGCCACGCCTCTAGGTACTGATCAGGCTCGACGTTGCTTAACATCGGGGATCGTAAAAGAACCGGTGATTCAACGTGATAGGGCGGTAAGCACTTTATATCAAGCGCACATCCAAGCTTACAGTGCCTAGTATTTCCAAGCCGTCACTCATTTACGTACTGACAAGTCTCAACGTTTCTTAACTTCGGTGATCGTACGAGAATCGTTTTTTCAACGTAATATGGCCCTAAGCCTTATTTAACCGGGTAGTAGTATTCATAAACTTAATAGCCTTAAAGCGCCGAATAGCTTAAATGAAATATTCGTAATATTATTAATTTTTCTTTGTTTTGCTGACGCTTTTGCATCTTGTATTTGCGCTGTCTTCGTTTTTACATTCTACGACCTTTACATAACCACTATGGGTCGGAAATAAGGATTTAACTTTCAAAGAAAAAAAAATACTCTCGTATCCCTTATCCGTCTTAGCATGTCAGATCGGCACAGCATAGCTTCCGTGTGAAATGTCATGTAAGTTTTTTTTTTCTTTCTAAAAATCAATATTGAATGTCAGGAAAGACGAATAAACAAGAAGAACGACTCTTTAGAAATACTGAAATAGAATGAATATGCTTTCACGTCGACCCTTTTCTGTATCCGACCGGGTTTATTCCCTTCCGAAGGGATTCAATTTTATATCCCCTGGATATTTAAGCATACGCCATGAACTTTCGAATTGGGCAATGGCTTACATCTGGAAAATAAGGTAATTGCTGAAATATCCTACCATGTATTTATTATATGTTATAAGTACGTGAATTAGGTACCAAAACGTGAAAAAAATATAGGTATCAGTAATATATGTGTCTTGATAGAGAAACTTCAGATTGGTTTGGTTTGGTTTGGTTTACGGCATATCAATCTCATTGGGTTATTTAATGCCGACAACTTTTTTCTGGTAATTTTTGATTTGTCAAAAATCTATTTCTGTTAATATTTTTTTCCTCAAAAAATGTATAGCTGGTAATATTATTTTTTCAAAAACGTATAGCTGGTAATATATATTTTTTTTCTTAAAAAATTTATGGTCATTTTTTTTACAAAGTATTTCCGGTATTTAAACCTATTTTTACACTTTTATAAAACTTTTTACCTCACTTTCGGGGTTAACTATTTTACCATAGCTGGGACCCTAACAAGTGCTGTCACCCCGGGTCAGGGTGGACCTGGGAACACCAGCAATTAAGAGGTTGTTCCACGCTCCTCAAAACCTCCTGATCAGAGGCCTTGCTGTTGGACGTAGTTTATCGTCTTACCCAGGACGTGGGTGTAGTTTAACGTCATACCCAGGACGGTTCAGATTGGTAATCAGCATAATAAAACAACTTTTTAAGAAAGGCAAATTTTCAACCTCCATTTTCTGCAAAAATATCGTCGTTGCTCACATGTTTGCTAATCTTTTACACAAATTCACTAGGCAGGCTGATCACTGCTTTCCTCTTTTCCACTTGCCTCCAGTATGTCCTGTGAATTTTAAAGTCTCTAAGCCTTCTTTCCTCATCATGAAGCCTAGAAATTTCAACTTTCTTTTTCTGATCTTAAGTATAAGTGTCTTTTTGTGTCTATTTTCCTTGAAACTTCGTTATTTTTCACATGTCCAGTCCATAGTATTCTCAGTATATTTCTGTAGTGCCACATTTTTGTTGCTTCAAGTGAGGAGATTGTCCAAGAATCGCTATCAAATAGAAGGACCGATATTACAGTACACTTTTCTTTCTTTCTAACGACATTTTTCTGTCTCTTAATAAACTGCTTAGTTTCTGTAATTCAACTTTGGACATCCCAATACGTTTTGTTGTCGCATTTTCCGCCCTATGTTAGAACACTTATGGTCATAAGATCATAGTTCTCCACGATTTCCTGTCCTTTATTTACATTATTCGGACTATTGTCCTCATCTTTGTCGTCATATTTATTACAACGTTTCGGCCGGTGTACGCTCCGGCCTTCTTCAGGTGGTTGGAATGTCGAACCGAACTCTTCATTTCGCTCACTGGGTTAGACTGTTCTAGTTCTCCGTGCCATGTTTAATGGATGTCAGTTATCAGTTATCTGTTAATTTTCCCTCTGAAAGTTCTCCACTGCCTTAGGGTTATTGAACACACACTCTTTGGGTCCTGTAACTAGATCTAACCAATGCCTTTATCCACTGTGCCATGTGTCCTTGAGGACACATGGCACCTGAAGAAGACCGGAGCGTACAACGGCCGAAACGTTGTAATAAATATGGCGACAAAGATGAGGACAATAGTCTGAATAATGTAAATAATGTACATAATACCTCATCTCAGAAATATAGACAGATATTCCTGTGCTTTGTAGCTCTTAATCACTTTTTAGTTTCGTCATCTCTCCGAAACCTAGACCTTCCATTTATCTATTCAGTCTCACCAGGTGTGTTACTTTCCTCTGCATTTTGTACCTTCAATCTGTCCTGGGAGTGTCGAAATTTCTAATTCCTCATTATGCACTCCAGAAATTCCAACTGTCGCTTCCTCATGTTAAATAGAAGTGTCCTCTTTGTTGCCATTGTTTCTAGAAATTTGTCGTTGCTCACGTGTTCAGTTCATGATTTTCTCAGCATCTTTCTGCAGAAACACATTTCTGTTGCTTCAAGGCTCTTATTTCCCTGGGACGAGGTTGTTCAGCATTCACCGACATATAGGACGACTGTTAATACATAACAGTTTAGTACTCTTTTCATTGTTTCTAACGATATTTTTCAGTTTCTTAATACATTGCTCGGCTTTTGCAAGGCATCTTTCGTTATCACAATATTCTTTCGAATTCGCACTTTCCGTCCGCTGTTAATACGCTTCCCAGATATTTGTTGCGCCTGTATGATTTTGGCATCTCCAATCGGTAATTTGCAGAGGCTGTACTGCCTCTTTTGCTTATAATCATGCATTCAGTATTCTTGTAATTGTTGCTTAGACTTTTCTTCTCGCTTTTCTACTGTCTACGAGTTCTTGTCCATAGGGATAACTACAACTAATCATTACCTATGAACTCAATAATAAATTCACCAAGTGTTTACTTATAAACTCAAGTATAAAGCTGAACAATGTTTAACTATAAACTAAAGTATAAAAACCTTCCGTATTTGCCTATAGCAACGTTAAACCTTTGTCATTCATGACAAGATTTTTCGCTATCCCAGATATTAACCAACTACACTAAAAATACATCTGTTGTTACCGCACAAGTCGCGTTTTATTACCGTAGGGATTGCGTGGCGTATCACCTTAAATTTTGGGCGTTTGTGAAATAACATAGAAACTTAAATTCAAGTGTTTGAATTTAATTTTTGCGGCCCTAGTATTTCGCTTCGCGACCCCAAATGGGGCAGTGACCCATAATTTAAGAAGTGCTGGCTTACAGAATTAAGTATAATAAAAAAACAGGTTTCGCCATTAAATAGACAAATAAGTGTTGATCTCTTATAAAATCCACAAAACCCAACTCAACCCTACCCACAGCTTGTAAATACGAAAAAAAAAAAAAAAATTTGCCAAGTGACAGTTGCTTATTGATCCTTATAATATATATGACGCAAGGATTCTGTTAGGATCGAACCCATAACATAAAACGTAATGCTTTTTTAACCACTTCTCAATATGGAGGTTCCTTAATAGTATGTAATAATATAATCGCTAAAGCTGTGGAGGACCTAGTCAGAATCGAACTCGTTTCTATAGCGACACAGTAATGCAAACAAAGTTTTTAACTCCCAATCCCGCAGTAGAAGCAAAACGTATTTTGATAACTTATAAGCAAACTATCATCCTTGATTGCAAACAACTTAATATTTCAGTGTGTAATATTATCATCTTCCGTTGGTTGGTTGATTTTGTTTAGCATATCAACACCTCTGTGGCTTATTCAATGTCGAAATCTAAATATTTTGTACGTAATTTTATACTTTTAGACTGAAGGTATGTTTTGTAGATATATAGTTTGTAGACCATAAAATGTATTGTTGATAATTTTACTATAAAAAATATTTTTATATTTTGTTTACTGTTCCACTGATTGCCATTTTGCTATAAAAATGTATTTTTGCTCATTTTATTATAAAAAAATGTACCGCTGATTTTTGTTTAGAAGTTCACCATAGATACACAACCCTAACACTGCTACTACTCCGAGTCAGGATCGATCTGGTAACAACAGTAGGTAAGAGGTGATTCCACACTACTCAAAACCTCGAAATCAGAAGCCTTGCTGCCGGATATAGTTAATCGTCATACTCTGGACGACCATCTTCAGAGCACGATGAATGGAAGGATTTTTCACGAAGCAAATTAAAGATAAAGTCAGCCTTGATTGCAAATCGTTTAATATTTCGATGTGTATTCTCATCATTCTAAGGGCATGATGAATGGAAATATATTTCACTACCCGCTTTTTCATAATCGTGCATAAATGCATTTAAATTTATTTAATGAATATTAATAAATTCATACAATAAAATAGTTTAAAGAACACATTGAAAGAATTGAAAAACAAAACTGGACGTGGTTAATCATGGGAGTAGAAAAGAACTGACTGATAATCGTTTGATCTCGGATAAAATGGGTCATAGATTGACTAAACTTTTTTTTCCCAAAGTGCTGAAAAACCTGGAAGCACAGGTGCTTAATTCGCATTTCGTCTACTAGAAACTAACTGAACAGTAAATGTTAAAAATATGAGGTTATATTCTGTCCGGTCCAAATTACAGTGTTAACACAAAATCCGTGGGCGAAAATTTCTGCACATGATGTTATATGCTAACAATTTTTCTTTTTTTTTTGTCTCAGATGTCATTAATGCGCAATTGTTCATATTTTCAGAATAGTCTATTCCATAACGGCCCGAGGCATGAGCAATCCTTCACGAAGGAGAGACAGCGAAATATTTTGCTCTCCAGGTAATAGAATTTCTGAATTGAACATTTGTTGGCAATTGACTGAAAAAAAAAAATCAAATATGTCTTGGCCTCGTCCAAGAATTGACGATTTATGATAATTCGATCTGTAGTAAGGAGAATAAAAAAA